GCTCTTCCCCCACCGGAGTACGGCGCTCTTCCCCCACCAGAGTACGGCGCCCCACTCGCCCTTCCCCCGCCGGAGTACCGGCAGATGAATTACTATAATTACCCGCAGCAGCACGGCCTTTTCAGCGATGAGAATCCTAATGGTTGCGTGATCATGTGACAATTAATTGATCGTGTGACAATTAATTAATTACTTCTTCTCTGTTCTTTTTTGTTAGCAAAGTTTTAAGTGATATTCTTTTGTTTGAATTTGTTAGTTTTTATTTTACTTAAGTTCCTTATATAGTCTCTGTATTTTGTTCCGAAATCGTTTGATCTTGATTTTGCAAATTGGTTTTACTTTTAAACAAGCTCCCAAGTTGTGTCCAAAACCTTGTTTGGTTAATTTGTTGATCAAATGGAGTTCAAGATTTTATTTGTGATATGAGCACATATTTGTAAGATGTATTATGAGAAAATACTATATATAGTCGTAAATATGACAGATATTTACCCTCACAAGTATAATGTTATATATAACAACTCGAACAATAAAAGATTTACTCTTAACTTTACTCAATACCGAATATATTGTAAAGAAATAAACCCCTCTTAAAATTTCAAATGTAAAATTTTTCCAAAACCAAGCAAACCATAATCGTTTTGTTATAATAAGAAAATGACAAATATTTGATACATAGTATTTAACAGTGTCCAACTACCAGCACATCACCGAGCTCTTTGACTTCAAAATGACAGTGGTAGAATGAGTATGGAACAACTCATTGTAGAAAACAACGCAATTATTTAGGATGATAACCGACATCACCATAATTGTACATTCGATGTAGACATCAATCATCATATCGTAACCCGTAGGTTAACGTATATCCGAAGGTTTGTACCGTCGCGCGACTGTAGGTGCACTAGTCCTTTGCCCTTCGGCAAATAAATATACAGATTTGCCCGAAGGCCATGCAAAATATCCAACTATATAAATATCGTCACGCGACTTTAGTGTACTTAGGCTATTGGCCTTTCGGCCCACATATATATTCACCCGAAGGCCACATTTACATACAATCATGATCATATCAAGCGTATAAAATGAATTAGAGCATAAAAAATTCCATCTCGAAGAGTATCTCATGAAATGACTTGAAATTACGCTCGTGCTTGGATGCTTCTACCGTGCAATAATGTTGTACTACAATGAAATATAACTCGACTTAATAGATGACTCGACTAAAATTAAAGGAATTACTTAATCAAATACTTTTAATATAATTATAATAAATATTAGAGAATCAAAACGGGTGGCATAAAAGGCTAGGTCAAGCTTGAGAATATTTAGGACAAAGGTTCGATTGTCCGGTCTATGCTCTTACCAACGCTATTAGCAAAACCATTCGCAAGCCCACTGTATTTTCATAATAAGCCCAACTCATCTTTTCAAAATCAATTCTCCACATTTGGCCCAGTTTTGCTTTCATTTCTTTAGCCCAGATCATCCTCTTGCAGCCCAAGTACCAAACCTCAAAATTAAAGGGAAATTACATATATAGACTCTATATAACAGATATTTTTATGTATACGACCCTTACAAACTATAAAAAAGACAGGCATTAAATGCTGTCTGGACAGGCGCAATAAACAAGAGGGCACATCAGGTGAGGCGAATACTTCTATGAGACGCAACGGGTCTTTTCAAATCTCAAATTTTAAATGTGGAGTCAGATGGCGGGATAAGGTGGAAATGGTCAAAGCCAAGAAGAAGAAAGAGAAAAAGGTCAAGATGGGCCAAAGGAAAAAAAAAGAAGTCGAAATTAAAGGTTCCCAGTGGAAAGTAGGATCGAACAAGTTGGTTGACCTAGTAGTAGGTAAATTCAATCGTCGAGAAGGGGAGGGAGAAGTCGAAAGACCAATTTGAAAATAAGAGAACTGAAGCGCTAAGTCTAAGAACATGAAGATAAGGTCAGCAAAGCAGAATAAAAAGGCAACAATGTCTACTCTATGATCGAGCTGTCCCAAATCGACCAGAGTGGGGAGGGGTGCTAGATGATATAAGATACCATACCGGGTCAATCGAAGGAATCGAACAGCTAAGCTGGACTGGCACGATAGTTAAGATTGCATCTAAAGGTCAATCTAAGGATCATAACCAGACTGACATTGACCTTCTTAGAGGATAAAACTACCTACAATACGAGCTCGAACTGAGCTCGACCTGGTAAACGACCTCATGGATGATAAGAGGCTGAGGGAAGAAGATGTTCAACATGATAATTATTATACCTGACGACGTGGATCCGGTCTCATGACAAGACAAAAAGACATAAAATTAGGGAACTATGCCACGGGAAGATTGGACCACATGTCGCAATATGATTGAGTTGCATGCACACCTGACAGTCTGAAACGCTGCAGGTTGTATGGTCGGGCAGCTTGAACAGCGGGGTCAACTCTACGGGCATACTTGGAGAACAAGACATTATACCTCTATGTAGGTTAGTTACGTCTTTACATTCTATACAAACTCTCATACAATTACTGTTCATCATCTTTATCTACATAATGTCATAGGCATCGAAGGCGCTTCGCCGAAAAACACTATATTCGAGGTAGAAGAGAGCAGATCCTTGTTGTATTAGCCCGAACCAAGGCCAAGCTAGGTCCATGTCACTATTAAACCCGATGCACCAGGACACAGTGACTTTAAATAATCTCAACATAACATTATGTATTTAATATTACTACCCAATCAAGCAGTTTATTGTCCCAATAATTGGATCTCACTTTTGGTAAACTAAAGTAATATATATTAATTGTACACGACCAATCATTATTTTACTGCTTAAGAGTACAAGTAATTACTGATATTTAAATTATTTACTTGGTTAATATAAAATTATCTTATCCTCCGTGCTTCGTTCAATACATCTAATATATAATAGTGTAACTCATTAACCAATATAAAATAATTAAAATTATACTACAACCTTTCACGATAGTTTGTTAAATTCTATCTAGGTTGTGAACCATACATCATGTTTAACAAAGAACCGACAATACGATCTTCTGCTCGACGCATCGAACTCATATTGTCTACAACACAATATAATAGAACAAACACTTTTGACTAATCATGATTCCCATTCAAACTTGAAAGAAACGATTGGATAAAGCCGACCTTTTAGTATAAAAGCTAACACCATCGAGTTGTCGTCCTCATAAACCTTATTCGACCTGTTTTGAAAGTGAAAAGAAGAGTCACGTGTTTATCTCCTAGAAGATCTAGAAAACAAAGTTTTTCTCGCTCTTACCAAATTTCACTGTTTATTTTCCTCTCACTAGTAGTCATACATTGGGAATGTCCTCTTAAAGTGACATCAATTTCATGAGCTGTTTGGTGCATTAATAGGCTAAAACAGGGATCATAAGTAAATGTTTGAATCCTAACGAGATTAGGTGTACTGGGTTTTGGGCCACTCTAAAACTTAGCCGATCAATAATAATCCATTCCACTAAAGGATTATTATTGACTTCCTCTCTAACGTCAAAAAATTTTGGGCTCCAAATTTATGAACTGGATTTATATCTCCATGTTTAAGATATTGGTGTCCCTCAATTAATTTAGTTAATTAACATTTTGATTATGAATCTAGTGCCACTTAACCTTATTATAATGTAGGATTAAAATACACCTATAATGTTTAGCATAATAATCGTCGTAAATTTATTTTGGGGACATATCAGCCTGTTGTATCAAGATAAGTGTCTGTAAATAATCAACAACGTGACATTTAAACAACATTCCTTCCCAACTCACGGAGTCTATTGATTGAATAAATCTTACTCATTAGCAAAACAAAGAAGTACATACTGGATACACCTTATCATCATTATATTACAAATTTAGAGTACGAGTAATAACTATGATCTATTTCATTTACTAGGTTAGTACATATTGAATTTATCCTTTGTCATGTTCATTACACACAAAATGTATAAATGGAATTTATTAGTCATGCTCAACTAATTTTAAAATTACACTACAATCATTCAAGAGAGTTAATTTATTTCACTACAACCATTCACGATAGTTAATTTATTTCTATTTTTGGTTGCGAACCATATTTATATTTAATAAGGAACTAATAATATGATTTGTTGCTTAACACGATTAGCCATACTATCGACAATGTAAAATAATTGAACAAGTTGCATTACAATTCAAACACTATTCATTAATCTCGATTCTCATTCATAAATCATGCATCATATAAATGAACAAACTAATTTTTCTTTATCTTCTAAAACTAATTCATTAGGTTTAGTGCAATGCATAATTTACTCTTATACATACTTCCATCACAATACAAATAAAGTGTTCCACGATATTGCAAAATTAGATTTAGAATTAATATTTATATTGGTACAAAAAAAAAAAAAAAAATAGAGTTTCTAACCATCACTTACGTATTTGATGCACTCCAAGAATTTTGCAGTGGGTAAAAAAGATATCATGTATGAAATCCACAAAAAATTTGAACTCGCTTCTAAGCTATGTTTGGTAAGCATATAAGCCAGCTTATAGTCTATTTGATTAGTTTATAAGCTTTTTGTATTTAAATAAACTTAGTTTGGTAGGAAAGACTTTTTGAAAAGGCCGAGCTTATCTCATAAGTTTTAATAGCTTTTCGGATATGGCAATTAATTTCAGCTAGCCTATCAACTAATTTTATCTAACACTTTTATCATATAAGCTAGCTTTTCAGACATAAGTCATCAATTATCATCTATAAGCTCGAAATTCACTTAAAAGGTATCGACTATGTTTACAAAACATAACATCAATCAGTTCTAGGTTAGCAGTCAAACGAAAAGGTGCAACTAACAAAAAATCACCAATTCTTTTGACCGAGCTTGCCGCTTCTTCAGATCCTTCTCTTCAGCGGCTCCACACCCCGCGACGGCGGCAGACCATTGGATGGCTCCTGGTCAGGCGTTTCTCTTCTTAGTGGCTTTCGGTCCGCTTCCCTTCTCTGCATGGTCTTTGTCCGTCTCGGTTCGCCATGGCGGTTGGGAGGCAGAGGGCTGACGGTTTGCAAGCGTTGGGTGGTGTTTGGCATCGGCGTTGCCTCCGCAACATCTGGGTTGAGGTCAACACCTCGGCCTCACCCGACTCGGCTAACCCTGGTATTGGGGTAGTGGATTCTTCCGGCAGGACAACTATTTGGGCTGCGGTGGCCAGTTTTTTGTGGTGGGGGA